TGGCCTGACAGCTCAGCAGACTAAACTGCCTGCTTAGGCAGAGTGCAGCGGCTGGGTTCAATCCCTGCGTGCCGGCCCTGCCCCCAGGGTGTGCTGAGATGACGATGGGCGTGGTGGCACGTCTGTAATCCCAGTGCTTGGGAGGGTGAAAACAGGAGAATCACTACAAATCCAATCTACATAGTGAGATCCTGCAGACCCTATAGCAAATACATAAAAAAAAGAAAATAAAGATAAGACTTTCAGACCTTGAAGACAAAATTGCTGCTAGTGATCAGAAAAGGAAAGATCTCTTACAAATAACAAGGACAAGGAAATAACAATTCGACATCTGCAAGATGATGCAAAGGAAAACAATATGAGTGTCAGGTGTCAGTGCAAAAGTAGGAATCAACACAAATGACATTAAAAGTCTATTTGTAGAAGTAATAGCAGAAAATTTCCTGAGCATGGAAACAGAATCTGACATCACAGATAAGTAAAGCATATAGAATTCCAGACATATAGCTTTAAAAAACAAAACAAAACAAAACAAAAATTAGCACTAGAGCTTCCATCTGGCTCAGCTATTCCACATATTGGTATATTCCAGAAGAATTAAAGGCATCATATCACAGTGATACATGCATACCCATGTTTGTAGTAGCAGTTTCTAATAGATATATATTGAAAACAGCCCAAATGCCCAGCAACTGATAAAAGAAGATGCAGGGTTTTTTCCTACACAATGGAGTATTACTCTACCCTAAATAAGGATGAGCTTGAGATTTCTGGGTAAGCAGATGCACCTTGTTGAAGCCATACTCTTGAACAAACCAGACACACAAGTGTAAATACTGTATTGTTTCTCTACTGTGAGAAACTGAAAATATAAGGACCAAAATATATAATAGATATTGTAAAATAGGAAGAATATTTTCAAATGGGAGGGAATAAAGGGAAAGGAAGGGAAAAAAAATGATTAGAAAAGGAAAAATTGAAACAAAGTTTTTTAAATATGGAAGGAAAGGGGATTGGAGAATGGGGGGGCAGTGAGATAGTTCAGCAGTCCAAACTGCCTGCTTAGGCAAGCTTAGGCAAGTGCACAGGGACTACAGTTCAATCCCTGGCACCACATGCTGTGTCAGCCCTGCCCCCAGGGTGGGCTGAGCCGCCTCCTCCCCCCCAAAAAAATTTGAGAATAGAGGATGAGAACAAAAAAATCAAGTTGTATCATGTACAGGTGCAGATTCCCTGAATGGTATGCATACCTAAAATGTACCAATAAACATAATTTTTAAAAACCTTTATCTCAAAAAAAAATTACTGCCTACCTGGTTTACATGTATAAAAGCATCTTTCACTCTCTGCAAACAAATGGAGACTTTAAGTTAGAATGCCCTAATTTGGCTTTTACTTTTTGTTTGTTTGTTTGTTTGTGGAACCGGGGATTGAACTCAGATCCTTGCTTTTGCCAGTCAAGCGCTTATCCTACTGAGCCATCTCCCAAGCCCCCCTAATTTGGCTTTTAAAAAAGATTTAAAATCGTCCAAGACACCAGATAACACTGGGCATAGTAGTATATACCTGTAATCCCAGAAATTGGTTGGCTAAAACAGGAGGATCAAGGACCACTGTGAGTTCAAGTCCAGCCTGGGCTACCTAGTGAGTTGAAGGTCAGCTTGAACTACAGAGCAAGACTATCTCAAAAGAACAACAATAAAACATTAAAAAAGAAAACAAAACAAAACAAAACAGGGCCGGCCAAATAGTTCAGTGGATTAAAGCACCTGCAAACAGGCCTAGGGGGTGGGGGTTCAATTCCCTGGCCTGCTGTACCAGCCCTGCCCCCGGTGCACACTGAGATGGCAATTGAGACTGGGTGTGGTGGTACGTGCCTGTAATCCCAGCTCTTGGGTGGCTGTAAACAGGCAGAGCACTACAAGTCTGATCTAGTAGTGAGACCCTGAACACCCTATAGACCTCTCCCTAAAATACAAAAACAAAAACCCACCCAACAGAGGTTACCAAGTTTTCAATCGTAATACACCAGCACAAAATTGAAAAATGCTTAGCACTTTTCTATTTAGAATTTAAAGTCCAGTAATTCAGCCTTTTATCTCATTGATTTAAGGATTTCAGAAACATACAAGACTTTAAAAGAGCAAATTAAACTAGCTAGAACTAGAAGCAAATAAGATTCCAGGTACTTTTAAGGCAGATTTAGATTTTTTTTTTTTTTTTTTTTGGTGGAACCGGGGATTGAACTCAAGCCCTTGCGCTCACCAGAAGATTTAGATGGTTTTGAACAATTATCTCCATCTGGTGAAACACCAGTGAAGAGGAATCAAGGGAAGGGGCCACAAGCAGATGTTTCCAGCACAGGTGTGCTCTGAAGCTCTGAGGGTGGAGCAGACCATGTGGCTTTCACTCAATTATTCCTGAAAATGGTGGCACATCACCAAACAAAAATACAGCAATTTACAATAAAACAAGCTCATGCAATTAGAAGAAAAAAACGAACAATCTAGTATGCATGCCAATAGGAAACCAAAGCTATCCAAGCAGATCTACCATATTTTAAACAAAGATAGGCGCAGTACAGGTCAGTATTAGTGAAAAACACCCCAAACCTATGGCTCCAAGTCACAGTAAAAAGAAGAGGTATGAAAATGTGACTACTTCATTTCTAAATCCATGTCAGATTGCAGTATCACAACGCATATATAAAAACAAAGCTTTATAATTTATGAAGTCTAATGCAATTAGGAAGTATTTCTATAAAAATTAACATATTTTAGAAGGCAGGCATGCACTGTGCAGCATGCTTCAGCCTCCTGAGCACTCTCCCCGCCCTTCACCCTCGCAGCCAGTATGAAGCACTTAGCTTATGCTCAGTGGTTCTCTTAAGTGCCAAGGAGACGAGCAGTCCAGCTTTTGCTTTCATGGCATTCATATTCTAGTGGGATGGCTTCTATAAAACGCTACCTGACAGTATCAAATGACTACAGCATTACAAGTAATTCCCAAGCTCCTAGGCTGGTCTCTCTTGCTGATCCAAATTTTAGTTACAAATCTATGTCCACATATTTTACTGACCAAACCAGCTGGACCTTAGCTGCAAGAATTCTTCATGGAAAATAATCATTTTTGGTTACTTTCAGGCAGGATAGGTTTCATGACTTTATGTCCTTTGCTCTCCAAATATAAGCCAAGCTGTTATCTAATATTATTTCAATACTAGTTAATAGTAGTCTTACATAGTCTTTAAAATGGCAGTTACTTGCAACCACGCCTAAACATTTTCTTCACCCACTGCTGAAGGAGTCCATTCACCCCCAAGTTCACATGAGATACTTACATTTATGTCTGTGTATGATAAAACTAGCTTTCATCTATTTGGGGAGACTTTGTAAGCTACTTAACTGCAAATATAGTATGGCTTAGAGTGCTCCGTATATTTCAATTTAGTTAACTTTATATATTAATTCTGCTATGTGACACCATAAAAATTAGTTTTAACCACTTAACAGTTTACCCTGAATGTCATTTGGGGCAGCATGTTTTTTATTGACTTCCCTGATGGACTCAGGCAGGTGCCATTTCAACCAATTGATTCTTATAATGAATATATTTGATAAAATTTCATTCTTGTATTTCCTGTTATGCCATCTTATAAAAATGAAACAATGTCAGTTGGTCGACTTCTATTTATATAATTGAGAGTGCTAAGTGATTAAATTGTTTTATGAGCTTACTTAGGTATCAGCCCGAGATCCACTTAGCATATTAGACATTAAGATTCCTTCCGTTCATGGGGAATAGGACAATGTTCCCCCAGAATCCTCAGAATCTGGGCACATTCCAAGTGCTGTTTCTAAGTAGACTCCACCCTGGCAGAGTGCTCACACCCCTCACTTCAGAGGGAGACAGGCTAAGCACTTGCTCATTGATAGAGTTAGGTGTTTATAAGAGGTTACCTGCTCATTATCCTGCCCAGGAATCCTGCATAAACTTTCTTTGGCCCACATGATGCTTTAAGGGCAGCATGGTACTTGCATTAGCAGCACACATCTACAACTGGACGTAGGGCCAGGCAGATAGCTTGGCAGTCTAAGCACAAAGACCCAAGTTTGATCCCCAGTGCCACGTTCCTGCTGGCCCCACCCTGAAACAGGATGTGGTGGCGCAGGCCTGTACCCCCAGCGCTGGAGAAGTTGAGACAGGAGGATCACCACGAGTCCAAACTGCATAGCAAGACCTGTACCAAATAACTAAATGAATGATTAAAAAAATAAAATATCCCCGGACTAAAACTAGTAATTTGTGTAGACAACACACAAATGTGTACTGCTCCATATTTTTATACACACACACACATACACACACACAATATGCCGGAAGAAATCTGTAAAAAAGCACTATCAATGTCAAGATCCTAATATTTACAGAACGTCACTGTAGGAGGAAACCAGACATGCAGTATACATGACTCTCATCACATCACACTGAATCAGGCCACTGATGATCACACCAACTATGACCACAGCGTGGACGCAGCACGTACAGGTCATATATGTTACACCAACACATACACACCAGACCTAAAAGTATGTATACAAGAGTCCATTGGTAAGTTCCATTAAGAAAAGCAATACAGCTAGGTGGATGCAATACTTGCACTTCATTAGTATATCCATTTCCATGTCTATTATAGGCATGTGACAGTGATCTGTTTATAGCTTTAGAGAAGTATTTGCTATCACCAGCTATGACACTAATACACAAAATAAATATGACACAGTATTTCCACCAGGGTCAGTGATCAAGACTCCAACAGACATACACTGAATAAAAACAAACACACAGCCTTCTCTAAGATTTTACACCAAAGCCGAGAGTTCAAGTTATTATTTTTTTCCCTTTGGAAAGACTCATGAATACTGTACATCAAACAATTACTCCCAAGCAACTGTCAGGCTTTCATCCTTAATGAAAACCAAAGCCAAAACTAACTGGAAAATATTTTAATGGTGTTTTTACAGCACAAAATGATTCAACTGAGACAGGCCGAAGAAAGTAAAATGATACATATAATCATAAGTTACACCACTTCAAATCCTGTCACTAGATGCACAGAATGAGCAACAGTCTGGCCAGCAGTCTTCCTGTTTCTCCTCTTGAAGGCACAGATGGGGTTATGCATCCAGCAGAAGTCTCTCCTGGGCGCCAGAGCCCTGCCTTATTAACAAGCACTGTGAGGCTCTGACCTGTCCAGCTCTGTGGAGCCAAACCCAGCCCCTCAATCCTACAGACCCTTCAACTGTTCCCAGCCCCCTTCAGACTGGACTTCTGATTCTTTTTCTCCCTCTGGCCCTGGATTCGGAAAAGCTTCTTCCTGAGGTCCTTCTGCCGCCTCAGCTTCTCCTCCTCTTCCTTCTGCTTTGCTCTGGCGTGCTCCTTATTGTGCAGATGCCGCTGTTCCTTGGCCTTCCTCAACTTCTGGCTGTTGACTGTGCTCAGCGCATCCAGAAGTGCCAGGATCTGTAAGAATAAAGCCCAGTAAGCAACACTCATTCAGCTGTGGCACGCATGTGACCTACACTTCCGGGGCCTCAACACCTGGCTGACGGGATTAAAGCTAGATTCAGTCTACAACCCACGTAGAAGTTAACCAAGTGGAGAGGCATCTTGAACTAGGAAAGGACAACTTGCAGAGAGGTGTGTGAGCACATTTTACCACTTCCAGAAAACCACCTCTGTTCACCTCGCTCTGGATGCTATATCCACCAGCTAAGACAAGGGAAGCCCACCACCTCCCGACTCCAGACTCAGAGTATGGTTGAGCCAAGGATCCAGGGCCTTGTGACCCTGATGAAGGTCGGGCACAGAGTGGAAACACCAGACTGTGCTACTGAGAGCACAACTTTTATGTTCAAATGCAAGGAAATAAGTGGTTGCTCACAGTACCTTCCTCTCGTGAGGCTCGCGGATGACAGCTGGCCTCCACCTGTCCCTGGGCACCTGGCCGGCCTTTGCTTGGAGCTTGGGCTTGTTCTTAAAAGGCAGAGCCTTCTGCAAGGCTTTGGGAATGTGCAGTGAATTAAAATGTTTCTTTTGCCTCAGGATCGGCTGAAAAGGAAAATAAAACAAAAACTATGGCATATGTAAACTATAACCCATGTCTATACAAAACTTCTGCATCAACTCTTCTCCATTGATTGACTTCCCAGATCAGTAACCCCTGTGCCAGTGGCCTGCCAGAAGCCAGCATTTGTCACCCACGCGGATGGCTGCCTCCAAGGACATCCACATCCCACACACAGCATAGGAGCTTCAGAGTACACTTACAGCTCAAGAGAGTACCTATGGCCACTTCTGTGGAAGAAACTGTCAGGTGATCCAAAGTTGCTTCTCATTAAACACTCAGGTCCCACCTCTGAGGCAATGAGCTGGTGTTTCTCCAGCCTAACACGAATGACCTAGCTAGCCTCTCATTTTAAGCCTCTCTAGATGAACAGTTTTTCCTCAATAGCCAAAGTGTCCCTATTCCTGCCTCTAACTAAGAAGTTTAAATTTTTGTGTGTCTGCTAGAAGCCTGAGAGAGACAGACGAAATTTAAGCAGCACAGGAAAGCAAACTGTATAGAATTTTCAAGGTAATGTAAGTTCTATGCTTAAATTAAGATAACCAAATTTTTAAATTACCTCAGAAATATTAGCAGAAGGGCTGGCGAGATAGCTTAGCAGACTAAAGCACCTGCTTATGCAAGCTTAAGCAAGTGCAGGGACTACAGTTCAATCCCCGGCATTACATGCCATGCCAGCCCCACCCCCAGGATGGGCTGAGCCAGTCAGAGTCTGGGCATAGTGGCACACGCCTATAATCCCAGCACTGGCGAGGCTGAAAGAAGGATCACTACGAGTTTGAGCTGCATACTAAGACCCTGTACCAACCAAATACATTTTAAAAAAGATAAATAAATATTAGTAGGAAGCTGAAAAGTTTTGCCCAAGGCAAACCAAAAGTCACTATCAACTACTTAGAGAAGATGGCTATATCTTTAAAGATAGTGGGAGCATGGCACTTTCATATCCCAGCTACTCAAGAGGCTGGGGCAAGATCACTTGAGTGTAGCAGTTTGAGATCCACCTGGGCAGCATGGATAGATCCAATCTCACCATACATAAATAAGTAAATATATCAGTACTAGTCAATATCCTTTCAGGAACCCAAATTGCTTTAGAATTTAAACATTCAGAGAAATTGCTTTAAAAAAAAGCTGCACTGGTTGATAATGAACACAGTATCTCAAGTATAAAAACTCATGAAAGATGATCCAAAATTTTACAATACATTCTCTTACATGGGAGACCATTATTATCAAAATGACAGACTGCTACCCTAAAAAATATTATTTTCCAGGAATTATGGGCATTCTGAGGCAGGGTCTTGTTATATAGTTCAGGCTGGCCCTGAACTCACTGTGTAGCCCAGACTGGCCTCAAACTCATGGTAATCCTTGTGCCTCAGCCTCCTACTGCTGGGATTATATATGCATGAACTAGCACACCTAGAGGCAATGATTTTTTTGGATATCAAAAGATAAGATATGAAAGCAAACTAAATAATGGGACTACATTATAGTAAGAAGTTACTGCACAACAAGAGACCACAAAATGAAAGGGCAAAGGGCCGGCCAGATAGCTCAGCTGATTAAAGTGCCCTGGTTAGGGAGACAGAGGGGCCAGGGTTTCAATCCCTGGCCACTGTGCCGGCCTGGCCCCTGGGGGCATGTGCTGAGACAGGGATTGAGACTGGGCTTTGTGGTGCACGCCTGTAATCCCAATGCTTGGGAGGCTGAAAAACAGGATCACTACAAGTCATCTGTGTAGTGAGACCCTGTAGATCCTGTACTAAATGGGTAAAACTACTTGTAAACCTTGAATGTGTAAGGGTTAATAACCACACTGCACAGAATTCTTCTTACAAGGCAACAGCAGAAAACAAGCAGATTATAACAGAAGCTGACAGTGCTTGTCTGGCGAGTTCAAGGTCCTGAGTTCACTTCCCAGTAACCCCCCTCCCCAACCCTCCTGAAAAGGAGCTTGGGCTGAGGACCTGAACAAAAAAATTGTCCAAAGACATTAAATGGTTAACAAGAAATAAGGAGATACAGGTTCAAGGGTACATAGTGGCAGGCATATAAGATGAACACACACACAAGTCTAATAACATATCACATGAGAACTACAGCCAACTATATTATGTATTTGGAAGGTTTGTTAAATAAGTAACTGTAATTCCTCTGTCACACAATAGAATGTTATGTGAGATGGTAGATATGCTTACTTGCTTCACTAGTTATCTATGTGTGTGTGTATCTACCTATCTACATATCTATCATATCCCCAAACATCATATTGCAAACCTCAAATGTAGAGTTTAAACTCTTTTCTAATCCTGAGAAAATCACTACCATTTTCCTGCCTTCCTTTCCACAATATTCCATGATTTATTCAAATCTAACATTATACTTGAAAATTCAAAGCACCCAGGACACTGCACATAAAAGCACCGAAGTGAGCACCTTGAGCACATTTGTATCATCTTTCTTGACACATGGGCGGGCAGACACACACACACACACACACACACACACGCACACGCACACACACACACCCTGTACCTTATACAGAGAGTCCTTGCTGGTCTTCAGCTTGATCCCGTGGGCGAGCCTGAGCTGACCTGTGGTCCTCATTCCTGACCAGGTGTCTTTCTCACCGACTGGTTTCAGCAGAGACGTAACTGGATTATAAAAGGCTGGGATGGACACAGGGTACCACGTTCGCATGAAGACAATATCTGGAAAGAGGAAATTTAACATTTTTTAAAAAGGCTCACATCCACCTGTCTCTGTGTGTCACACACACACACACTTTTCTGCTTCACCAAGTTTTCTTGTGCATCACTCAGTTTCCACATGGTGTGTGCAGGAAGCTGCAGTAGCACAAGGTACTCTGACTGGGCAAAGATGGCGCTGATTTTAAGACCTAACCTCCAAACGCTAATCAATACTGGCTAGAAATCCGCAATGAAAAGCAGAACAGTGTCGGGAACATGCACTGTGCGCTCACCACTCATCAGCAGCTTATCCTCGAAGCTGGCCCGGAAAGCCCCCTCTGGAGCCCGCAGTGCTTTCTTGACCTGTCCTCTAATCCCACTGACAGTCCGAATCACAGCACCTTCAAACTTGGCCACCTCCAAAGCAGAATTAAACATTCCCTACCAGAAAGTGAACAGAGAAATGTACGCACATGAAATCATATACTTCACCTCTTAGTTCATCATTAGTTAAAAAATAAAATACACCTCACTAAAAGGAGACACAATAAACCATTTTCTTCTATAAGAGTGATATAACTATGTCAACAAGCACACAGCTATTTTACTTTTCCAAAGGAGCATTAGTCCAGACTGCTGTGGGCTCATTAACATGCCCCTCACTGGTACCTTGGCAAAGAAGAGCAGAGATGTATTTATCCCAAAATCTGGAGAAATCTATGGTTTGAAGCACTTCTGGGATAAAAGATTTGAAACTGTGCTGCAGTCTTCCTTTAACAATATGAACATTTATAAAAATGTCAACAGATAGATATACAGACCTTAATAAATGAAGTATTCTTGAAAATTTTATAAGGAAAACCAGTTAGCTTTAATTTCTTCACAATTTTTATGGATTTATCCAGATCAAGGACAACTCCTGTGGCAGCTATCCGGAAATCAGGCTGAAAAAAACCCCCAAAATTTGAGTATAAAATATTAGTAGGATAGGGCCAGCCTGAGGTGCAAAGTGAGCTCAAGGCCAGCCTCAATTGCATAGTGAGACTTTGTCACAAAAACAAAAAATCCAGCAGAAACTTCAACTCTATGATGCACTGTTACCAAAGTTTGCTTTACTTATAATCAGCTATGAAAGAACAAGAGAGCGTATGAACATGTCCAACAGTATTTCAGCAGAGCATTGAAAGCTTCAACACTGGCACCAAAGGTGACACCAATGGCTCCAGGGCCCTCCTGAGAGTGACTTTACGACAAGAATCAATTTGGAATAAAAACAAAAGGCTAAATTTAGCTGTAATTTTTATAAAAAGCTAAATTCTGGACCTCTAGGGTATGTTTTCCCATCTTCTCATAGCTCTGACCAGTCTCACACAGAGGGCACATGCTTGCTCAGCCTCCCCAGGAGAGCTGCCCCTAGTGGGCTGGCTGCCCTGTGTCCCTAGAACAGGTATAGTGCCAGCCCATGGGGAGCACTGCTCCAATACTCCTTCACAGTATGAGAACCTGTGCCATTACAATTCTTCTACACTGCTCTTCTCTACCCCCAAGCCCTTGTAAAGGACACAGGAAAATCAAAAGCAAAGAGAAATTTACTATATATTACATGCTAAAAAACAGTGATTTCCAATTTAGATCCACGTATATGACTCAGATTCAAGATTAACTTCTCAAATATAATCTATGAAATAAAATATCCAAAATACTTACCATTACACCACTGACAGACTGTATTGCCAAGAACCCAGTTCCTTGTGGAGTGATGGGACCTTAAAGCAAATAGGAGACAAGCTAGAGTGAGCCACACATTTGCGTTGGATTCTCCAATCTCTCACCCCAGGAGACAAATATTATGACTAACTGGTAGTTCATGAAAGAAAAGTGTAAAAATTAATCACAAGGTCTAATAATGGGTACTAATGAAATCTTACAACCAAGTTATTCTAACTCCATTTTACCCCAAAAGGTTGCTCCACAGTGCATGTGCTGTGGGGTGTATTTTAGAAGCCTCTGTCGTCCATTGTGGTCTTCAATGTAGTAGAGTGGGATGGTCTGAAATCTCCTCCACCCAATAGAAAAAATGACTGGATCTCGGGACTTCAGGATTTTCTTATACCAGCGATGTTTCTTCAGACGCATCTGAGGAGAAGAGTTCAACATAATGGGGTGCACACTCAACCAGTAGTCGCACGTGGTGGGCACCTGCTGTACATGCCCCACACTGCTTGCAGGCCCACAGCACCCACTGCACAAGCCCCATGCTGCCCGCATACCCACAGCCCTTGCCTGCCCACTCCCCATGCTACCTTCACACCCAGGACACCCACCTGCACATACCCCACGTTGCCCTCACTGTTGCCCAAGCCACCCAGAATAACTGGGTAGTGGGGGTCAAAGTTCATCACAAATTCGCAGGGGACATTTTCAATCTCAATTCGGACATACATCCCAGGTCGAAAACCTTCATACTGAACTCTAGTTTCATCATCCTGATCTTCAAATTCTGCTTGGTTAAGCTATATGGAGAGTGGGGGTAGGGAATAATAAAATCCCATCATGCTGTTATCTTTAATCAATCCAAGATTAAAATTAAAAATAAGCAACTCATTAAAGCAACCATGAACAGAATTCTTTAGGTTTTATCCTCATCAAAAACAGTAGTGGTGGTACATGCCTATAATTATAGCACCCGGGAGGCTGAGGCAGGAGGATCACTACTTTAAGGTCAGCCCGAACTGCATAGAGAAACCCTGCTCCAAAAAGACAAAAAACAAAACAAACACAAACAAACAAAAAACAGGTAGCCACACCTGTGGTTGTTAGGAAAGTCCCTGCTTTGTTCTCTATTGCTCAGGACACAAGAATTATAGACAAGGGCTGGTGAGATGGCTCAGTGGTCTAAAGCACTCACTTAGAACAAGCTAAGCTAAGCAAAGCGCAGGGACTGCGGTTCAATCCCCAGCACCACAT